AGGTTGTTGACTATGTATAGTTTGGGACTTTAAAATTATTGTCACTTTCATATTTTCTGCTTAAGTACGCAAAGACGGTTAGTATGATCACAAAAGCAGTGCTGATGTATACAGACTTTTATTTTCAATGAAAAATGCATTCTAATGCGTTCATCAGAACACTCCCTTGTTGAGTACCTGGTTCATTTAGTGCTCCAGGTAACATTGCCTGTGATCTGATCCATGTTTGCACTATGCTGGTCAATTTAAACAAACATTAAAAGTCAAAGACCCATCCTTGGATGACATAAATTACAGTACGCAATTAGTAGAGTCATGAACGGTTACAATTGTTTTGTTTTTTCTCAGACATGTATTCATTTGCCAAATTTAATTAAAAGGAACACTAGCAGTATACTGCTATCATCTTGTAAATTTGAAATGAACAATAATTTGCGTAAATTGCTGTGTTTTGGGAAGCAGACATGAAAAAAATATTTTAAAGAGAATTGCATTCATTCATGCTATAATGCATCAATAAGCTATAGGAATTTGTAGCAAGCTTGGAAAGCTAATTCCCTCATGACATGTCAATGTTAACATTTGTTCAGTTTATCAGCTAGGCATGTCAAGGCAGTGAAAAACAAGGGTGTTTTCACATCCCGGAAATTCACTCCACTTCTCCAATGTACCGGGGTACAGATATGCAATTGTTGTGAAACTGAACTAAACATGTTTTTCAAAACTGTTGAACCAGTGAAAATAACCCAGCACAAACAATCTATCCATTCTAAACTTATTTCAGAAGAGTTAATTACAAAACAAAAATGTTGTAAGCATAGCCATGTTTTATTTGGTAATTGTCCTAGTGGATCTTGGATGCTGTTATTTGGGGGGTAGTGCAGAAATAGTTTCACTACTATTTTAATGTTGGCATTCAACTATTGGACTGTGATGCATATTTTTTCCCAAAAATACGCTAACGAATAAAGATAAAAATGTATGGCTCAGCAAGTACCAAATCATGTTTACACAAACTTGAAGAAATTTCCACTTAATAGTTTTTATAAAAATGTTTGAGATATTAGTTGATGCAGTCTCTCTGCTTAACTACGAGTTGGGTAAAGGGAGAAAATATGTCACTAGGGGTGGGGGCTTCAGGGTTGGGAAAAAATGTCTAGTCAGAGGAGCCATGAAACTGTGGGATCTGTATGCTGTGCAAGTCAAATACAAAAATTTGGCTGGTATAAAATTGATTTTTCAGCATTGTCAATATTGAATAATTAAAAAATGAAATTGCTTCCCATTCTTTATATATTTTTTAAAGAACGGAGGTCATTGTGTAGCGCCTGTACAAATTTCATATAAACAATGTATAAGCTGAAAATTACAACTATACTTAGTCTGGTGATACAAGCTCCATGGTTGAGACAAGGGTAGTGATTGGTCAGTTCTCACTCTGGTGAAAAGTCACATCATCTAAAGTAACATCCAGACAGCCATCATTGCAGTTTAAGTGTCGCAACAAACCACTTCTCTCACACATTGAATTTGTTCTGCACTTTTGAGTGAAATTTTTATGATATCACTGAAATATAAAGGTGTACATTGCAATGTGGCAGTTTTGTTGCATACTGGGCACACTCTTTTATTCAACTTTTTTTAGCCTGTGATGCATGCCTTTACTTGTACTTGGTTTGGTGCCTGAAACTAAAAGCAACAATACCTTACAAGTTTAATCTTCAAAGCAATATTTTCTGGGTTGTAATTTAATTAAAGTACAATGTAAATATCATTTTCAAAAAATGTAGTTGCACATGACAGAAACAATGCATGCATATATGGGGACTTAGATCTTTGCCAGCCACCCATGTACTCCATATATTGCATGATGACTACAGTATTTTCTCTATTAGAAGTGCGGGGCTTTCACAAAATACCAGTGTACAAAATGCTATCAGAAACACAGTTTCTTTTATGTGTGCCTGTATTAAAGATGTCCTTCTAATAGAGAAAATATGGTACATGTACATGCTCTGTACTTTTCTCTGTTCCTGTTAGAAAATGATACTCTGTAGAAATATCTTGTCTTTATAAAAGTAGATACTTGTTGAATCATTAGTTAGTGCATGTCATGAAATGATGTTCTTGATTTCATTGAATCCGTACCCCAACCTCTTGCCAGATGCAGATTCTATGATTCTATAATTTCTTTATTAATTTTTTAATGAAGATTTGTTTTGTGAAAAATGACATAAAGTTGACATTGCCCTCAAAGGATTGCCAAAAAAATTGCTAAAACTGAAGTTGTAGCAGTTTTTTATTACATTTGGACATAATGGGTAAAAGGTGATAAAAGTTTGGTGTTCAAGGGGTTATAAAAGAAATACTTTATTCATATGGGTCCTCTGCCTCTTTTGGCATTGGCAGGTCCCCAGGAGGCCGTGTTTTAAACCATGGAAACCAAGAATTCAAGTGAATCAGCAGAAAACTTGAAGAAAGAGCCGACTCCAGCCAGTGCTTTGAAGATTATTCAGAATATCAAGACAAACAGTGACACCATGTATGATGAACAGGTGTATGGTGTGTGGCGTCATTTTTCTGCATGTCTTCCAACTAACCTGACCCATTGTTTCCCAGCTACAACAGTGACCTACCATCTATTTATTGACTAATAATGTATTTCTATGTACATGTGTTTCTGTTAAAGTTGTATTGCCGGAAACAATAAAAGGGTTGTTAAAAACCATTTCAATTTTGTGAAACTTTGCCAAAGTTTAAACCCGAAGTTACAGCATTTCGCGAGTTGTACTGACTGAAACCGGATGTGTTTTGCAAATTTATTATTTTCTTCACTTGACGTCCACACTAAACACAACTGTAGGAAGTCGTGGTACGTAATGTTTAGCGCGTAAGTTATCTTGAATGCAGTGCAGTGGTAACACAAGTAAAAGAATTTATTCTGTTGAATTCATTACATTACACATATCACATGCCCCAAAACCTACAACAAAATTTTGCTGTCAATAACAATTTAACAAAATGAAAAGGTAATCAGGTTAAAGTTGTATTATCGTCAGAACTTAAATGAAAGCCCCTTCTAGTTTGAGGAAATCAAATTTGATAGTTACTGCATTTCTGAGTTTTACTAATCAAAAATTAATGCATTGCCCTGTTTGACTGTTAATGTAAAAGGATTAATTATTCACTGGGTTTTAATTTTGCTTATTTCGCTGACTGGAAAATGCGCTGAATTAAAGCCCAGTGAATATGTAAAATTTGGCATAGAACACATTATCTAAATGATAAAACCGTGAATTTAAAACCCACTGAGTATGCCTTAAATGGTAAATCAGCGAAATATAAACCCAGTGAAAATTAGTCTTTTTACAGTATTATTTGTCTTTACTACAGTTAATCCCATTCTATGAGTTTACAATCATGCACCACTGTTTGAATTCTGCATCAGGAGCATGGTAAACACAACTACTAATTTCATGTACAGACAGTAATATTCGACCTTTAAAGCTCAAACTCAAACGCAATGTTAACATTAGTGAAATAATAAAAATTTGAAAGGAGGAGCCTAATGGTTATACAGGAAACATCTTGTGTACATTACGGACTAATCGTAGTGGAAAATGCTTCACTTCAAATATTGATTTTGTAATGTGGTTCATATTTGATTGTCCGACAGAGACTCGCCATGTGATTTTGTGACTAAATTCCGCCCCAAGATGCTAAAACTTGATGTTCGGTTATTTGATTGTACCTGCGTGTCAAGTATGGTTTTTGGTCAAAAAATGCACCTTATTAGTTTCATAATCTAAATTCAAGATGGCAATTATTTTAGTGCTAAAAATTTATCAAAATCACGCATTTCTAACATTCCGGAACCTGATCTCAGTTGTTTATACATGTAGACATATTTTATTCAAACCTGGATATGTCCATTGAACTTAATAGATTCGTGATGCAAATAATTCTTGTCCCCCAGATCAGATTCAAAATAACCTACCAGTTCAATACAACATTTTTGTAGAATGTCCATTGTTGTTTGCTAACTTGCTTGCATATTTAGCAATGTGATGTACATCAATGTGTATTATACAAGAAAATGAAAGGAACATCTTGTTTGGGTTTGTTTATTGTAGAAATGTTTATTATTATTTGGGTTCGTTTATTATAGAAAATTCTTGTGGAATTCTTGAATTTACAAATTTTTTGTGTTCAAATTTGTTTTGTTCTTTTTGCGTAGAGCATTATCAAATAAAATGCAGAGGACACACAATTTTACAAATGCATATATAAATGTAAAATGCATACTGGTATGTGTCACTTATATCAGGTGCTTGAAGCATGACTCCCCAATCCCAAGAACAGCCTGATATGTTGATTGAGTGGCGCCCTCGCTAGACGAATGGCATCAGACAGACTGATGCCTCGTCGGCAAGATCAATACTGTGAATTTGCAAAGTTCACGCCTTCTTGCAATGAGTTTCAATGAATATTCATTTTTGTGGTCATAGTAACACTGTCAACCATGAAATTAAGGTATTGATAAGTAACATCTTCGCCAGCCAAGGGACGTTTCTTTCAGGTCATCCCTCCAAACTAACCCTTAGCAGATTGAACCACCACAGTGTGTATTTAATAGGTGCCCTTAACGACAAGGTAGGGGAATGCGACAAAAATATAAACAGCCAATCAGCTATCTTGTATCAAAATACAGTAGAGCAGGGTTTTTTTTTTAAATGGTGACCCAAGCTAAACTTCTCACGCAGTTTTTCGAGATAAAAATCTTCACCGATCATCGAAACCATGCAATTGAGGCATTACTAGCTGAAGAAGATGAGTTGGCTGCGAGGAAGGGAGTGGCAAATCACCAAAATTGTGCAACAGTTCAACTCTTGAATGATCAGTCAAGTAGAGTTTCTGAGATTTTCTTTCAGAGGTGACAGTTTCATTACTTTGTTAAGACATACATATTTGTCACTTTGCTGACTAAGTATGTCACAAACAGCCTGCAACGTTTGCATAAAAAATGTTTAAAACTGGGTAAAAATTATGCAGTGCCGGTTTTGGTGTTTGTCATACGCGTTTACCCAGAATCACAAAATCTGTTCACCCTATTCTGTTCTTTGTCATTGTTAATTTTAAGCAGGGTAACATTCTCCAGTTGAACTTCAGTTTTCAGAAGTTTCACGTTAGTCCTAGACTCAGTGATAAATTTTGTATTCTTTCCTTAATATTCAGTTAACTAAAACCTGTTTAGAATTTACTTGATAAGGTTCTTGACAAACTCTATTTTTCTGTTTTGGATGGTTAAGTTATGTGGTGTATCAGTGTTGGCATGGCCGTTTGAAAACTACTCTAGTCTATGGCATCATAAATTATCACATGCATACACTGTTCAATCAGTTAAAACTGATCTCAAACTACTCTAAAACCTGTCTAAATCGACACTGTAAACCAAACGCCATTTTCCAGTGCATGTTTCATAGATTTGCTTGTACATATATTTACAAGACCTCTATAAACCAAAAAACATTTTCCAGTCTCTGCTCTATAGACTTGTTTGTGTGAGCGACCTTTATAAACCAAACATCTCTGTAAACTAAACGCCATTTTCTAGTCCATGTTGATGTTATTTATTAAAATATGTGTAAAAAATATGTTTTGTTGGATAAAAATCGTGATTGGTATGATAACATGGCTACAAGGTTAAACAAACTAAAGTTTGTCATCTTTTCTTAGGTTTTAGATGTGCCCTTAGACTTATGACCAGGGAAGTATGGTACTATCGGTAATTGAACTACCGGTACTTAAAAATGTTGATATTTTAGTTTTTAGTGTCCAGTATAGCCACAAGATCAACTACTCGGAACTAGTTTTTTTTTAAAGTTGATCTGTACATTTTCATGAAGTTTTAAAAATTGCTTATACATTTTTTACTTTGTAAATAGATTGCGTACTGCTATGTAAGGTCAGATACGAGGGAAAACATTGGGGACACATGCAACAATTTTTAAATGAACTTGTTATTTTACTCTGACTACCAAATTAATACATGGGACTCTGTATCAGGGGGAGAAAGTTCTTGTTCAGTTGTTAGAAGTTCTACCTTTTTGGGGATACTGGTAATGGTAAAACAATTTGCCAGGAACTACATTTTTCACAAATCGGCTGTTTTAATAGTTTGCCCATAAGTCTTTGTACTGTTTTGATTTTTAAGTTCACAAAACTTTCACTCATTTGTTAAAATTACATGTTTGCTAACCCCAAAATTGTACGGTATTTGTAGTGCATGTATGTGACTAGTTTTGACCACATATACATCACTGTCATTCACACAAGCAGCAATTTTCTGAAACTGCATGCAATTTAGCCTGACAAGGTAGCGTGAATTGCACCCTCTGCGGTGCTCCAATCCCAACACACGCCTGACAGAACAATGTAGTTTTTCACTTGCCCCGTACCAATCAAATTGCAGGAATGTTAGATAGTGACAGCCATCAAGGAGTAACCATTCATGGCAGAGTTTATTTCCGCCCAATGTTTATCATGTTGTTGAAAACAGTCTGTGATTTTTGCTGACAAGGCAAACACGGCTTTGATTGACGGTGTTAACATGATCACCAAAATAAATGCTCATTGAAACAAATTGCAGTAAGGCGTGAACTTTGCGAATTCTCAGTATTGATTGGCGTTAGTGGGGTCTGATGTCGTTTGGTCGATGAGTGCGCCACTCACGCCTACATGTCAGGTTACATGCAATTCCAGTAGAGCAAATATGGTATACCAAAACATGTTCATTTCCATCATCACATCATTATGTACTTTTATAGTACAGTCATTTGTTTCACTATTGAATATGAAATGAATACAAATATATGTATTTAATTTAACTTGTCTATTTCAGAGTTACGAAAACAAGCCAGACAGCTTGAAAATGAACTTGACCTTAAACTGGTATCATTTAGTAAGCTAGGAACGAGTTACAGCCATAAAGACTATAAGAATGATAGGTACAAGTACGTTATCCAATTTGCATGTTGTCGTATTCAACCAGGTATCCACTCAGCTTTGCATGTTATCGTATTGAATCAGGTATCCACTCAGCTTTGCTTGTTATCGTATTGAACCAGGTATCCACTCAACTTCGCAAATCCATTTCTGACAATCCGGAAATACTGTAAACAGTTGTATATTTTCTTGGGGGACGGCAAGAATGTAATTTTGGCGGAAGTCGTTGTGCAGAATTTGGTCCTTCTCCTCGACTTCCATGAACATTTGTTTCGAACAAAATTAAATCTGTTTACAATTTTGCGTTGTTTGTGCGGCGCTTAACATGGGAATGACTTCTGTGGTCGCGAGTCTTTGTGTAGCTTTCAGTGCGGTTGCTTGTTTTTGTGTGGTGCTCAATGTGGTTAGGAATGTTGGTCATTCTGGTAGAAGCATTGCATAAGAAAATATATATATATGTTTCTGGCCACAATGTGTATCAAAATGTTTTGTTTTTAGAAAATCAATTTACTAAAAATGTGTTTTTGACCTATTAAGCTGAGTGACATATCTCTGGGTGTAAGGTATAGATACATGTGCATGCAATGTACAATGTGTTTAAATTAATAAATCTTCACCAGTGTCCTCCCAAATTGAGAAGGTGGGCAGGTACATGTGGGGATTTAACATCTGCCATCAAACCCAATCTTAAGTTCACGTTGCTTGTCATGCAGCTTGCTTTAAAATTTTGTGTACATGCATGGGACCTTGTAAAACTCAGCCCCTGTGATGACCACTGACGTGATGAACACTATACCAGCAGACACTTTTTTTCCCTCGTATATTTTTATATATCAGTGGAAGGTTACAGCAGGCAATGTGTTAATGTTGTCCAGTAAATATTTACTTTGTTATTGTTACCCATGCTTATTTGTCATCTCAACAGCTCTGATACGTCACCGTTGCTTAGTACGTCAAGTAGTGAACGAATGTTTGATACCATGGCGATGGAAATAGAACAGCTCCTAACCAAGGTAAGACAGCTGGTGAGAGATTCATTGAAATATAATTTTTAAAACGCAGTAGTTTTTTAAAAAAGTAGGCAGCTAACTAACTCTCCTCGTCTAGTCCAAAAAGATCATGATGTAGAAACTAAACTTTGATGATATTCGCCAAGGTAGAATACTGTATTTGCTGTATTAGTAGTGTTCATGAAAAATGAGTTTATGGTCAAATTAAGTCATATTTTAACGATCAGCATATCCAGGGTCCATAGCGTTGGGAAAATCTTTTGAAAGTTTTTGGATTTTTTGAGGTCTGGAAAGTCTTTAAATTTCTTCATAATTATTAATTCATTTTAGAAATGCCCATTTTCTCCAGGAAACTACCATATTCTCAGAACTTTGATGAGCTTCGGTGATGATGTTGGCCTGAATTTAAGGGTCAAAATGTCTTAGGGAAAAATGCAAGAAAGTTTTGGAAAATGTCTGGAAAAGTCTTGGAAGTTATTTGGCTCTTGGTGCTATGGACCCTGATATAGTAAATGCTTTTATGTGAGCGTCTTTTGAGATGCGCTTCGAATAGAGAAAAAAATGGTAAAGCTGTATATGCTTCTATTGGAGAGTCGCTTCTAAACTTTTCACCCCCAGTTTCCTCTTTTCATCACAAATTCACAAAATAGTCCAGTTTATAGTCTGCGCTTTCCTTCAGAAGATTGGGACAAAAATAAAGAAATTTTTTGAGTAAAAACTGAAAATTGACTCAAATTTTGTCTATTGGCTCCAAAAATAAGGGTTTATTTCCAGAAATATTGAAGAATAAAAGAAAAAAAGTGTGCAGAAAATTTTGGCGATAAAGTCTAGTGGTGAAAAAGCTAATAGAACAAACTTGGTAATTCTTTGATAAGACACTGGTTCTAATATACATGCTTCCTATACTGTCTTTCAGTTAACTGGTATCAACGATAAAATGGCTGAATACACCAGTAATATGGCAATGTCTACTCCAAGTGCTGCTCTTTTGCACACATTACAAAGACATCGAGATATACTACAAGACTACACCCATGAATTCAACAAAACTAAAGCCAATATCTCCGCATACAAAGAACGAGAAGATCTGCTTGGGTCTGTCCGACGGGAAATTGACACATATAAAAGTTCGTCAGGACTGAACAGAAGAACAGATCTTTATCTCAAGGAAAATGAACACTTGAGGAAGTGAGTATTGTATGGTTTTTATCTCTTGGTTTTATGGTAACTAGGGTATGTAATTAGTACAGAGATCAGAGAATCTATTGTTGGCTGTACCCCTTAGATGATGACAGTAGCTACGTTCTCGCACGTCTAAAAAACACTGGTGTTTACACTGTTTTTTTGTTGTGCAAATATTAGATAATCTGCTGAATTGTTTGCTCGCGTTCTCACTTAGTAAAAACACCAGTGTTTGAGGTCCTGTCCAACCCCTTTTCAGCTGCTTTCTCTGCAATCACAGCATATACTCTAGCATCCCTAGACGTTTCGTCCATCATTCTTTGAATTTTTGATTCTCTCCATACAGATATCAGTGATCTCGTTTCTTCATCTGACCAGTTCGACATTCGACCTGTAACGTTTGACACCATCTTGCGTAATGACAAGCATAAATAAGTTGGCGATAGAGGGCATTTGGCCGTCGTATTATGTTCACACGGCACATTGCGTTGTGCAAAAGCCGGTGTGACAATGGCGCTTAGGATCTGGTCCACCCCTTTTACGACGGTGTCAAAAATGCCGATGCCACAACTGCGTATTCTGTTCACACACGCATTTTAACAATGTTCTCAAATAAAAGGCGTTGTGACAACGGCTTATTTCGTCCAGTGAGAACACCACTAGTGATACAACATGATTGCTTGTTTGATAAGATTGACATCTGAAAAATTCTAGATTATTTGATATAAACGTCAAATCAAGTTACGGGCAACATATATTTTTGTTTTTGTTGAACATCCACTATACGCGCGCACCCTTGTACGTGTATAGCTTTCTAATTAGATACTAATCGTTTGTTCCTCGTCCCTCGCGTAGCTCGACTATCTGTATCTTGAAGTAGGAAAGGCATTGACACACAAAGGTGATCTCACCTCAACAATACAAATATAATCTCCAAATACTTCTAAACTGAATATCGGAGAGTGAAATATTATAGCCACTTAAGGTCAAAATACAAAAAGTCAATCGTACGATAAAAATACAATATAACTAAACGACGACTACATACACATTTATTTAATCAAACTTGAATTAACAGTTAACCAAACTTGGAGTTACGGGCAACATAATTTTGTTTTTGTTGTTGTATGTTGCCTGTTTGAGTTACTAAACATATACATTCAACAAAAACAAAAATGTATGTTGCTCGTAACTCCAAGTTTGGTTGACTGTTATTTTAACGATGAGTTACAATTTTGGTTTAAAAAATATTGGCATGGCCATTTTTGTAACTCAATGTTTTCATAACTTAAACAATTCAGCATCTCGCATCTGACTACAAATACTAGTAATTTAGCATCAGTAGATCCCGTGAGCAATGATGATTATTATTATTCTATTTACCGTGTTATCGTAAAAAAGCTCTTGATTTTACAATGTAGCTATAGGTGGGTATAAAAACTGAACATAATTGAAGTGATGTGTGAATTTATAAATTATTTTATTGGGTTTCAATTTCAGTATTTTTGTTAAATCCATGTCTGTGAATAAGATCAAATATCACAACAGTGACATTAAATACAACTGAAAATTTATGCTTTCACAGTAGTTTGAACTGTATTTATGATTATTGTTTCAATGTTATTCTTATTTCAGTACAGAGAGGTTAACAGATGATGCAATTAGGTTAGTATTAAACTTGGTATCTAACTAGTGAACAGGGAGGGGGGGCAGGTATGGGGAGGGTGCAAATCTTTTGTATTCAATTTTGTTTATCATTGATAGCTGTGTGTGTACAGGGTTGCCAATATGCTCTTGAATGTGAAATTGATTTTGTTTGTTTTTTCCTCACTTCCTACTATAGTGTTGCTATGGCTACAAAGGAAAATCTGTCATCACAGAAGTCAACTCTTAAAAAGATATCAAATAGTGTGTCCAACATAGTCAGTATCCTTTTTACTATTGTTGTTCAGGTACATTTTTCTTACTGTTATATTTGTTGTAGTTCAACTTGCAGTCATCTCTGTGTTTCAAACTTTATGTGAAGTATGTCAATGCACAGTCTAGTGGAGTGGAGTTTACATATGTGACTACCATGTTTGCTATATTAGAAG